AGGTTGTCTCTGATATAGGTTAATCTTCTTTTTAACATTTATTCAACCAGAAACATCTTTATTAATTAAAGAAAATGAAACGACTAACTTAAATGTGTGGAATATATATTTAAGACGGTCCTGGAACTAAAACCAAACAAAGACTTGAAGAATACGTAGGTTTTTGAGCTGATGAATGGGTAACTTAGAAGAAATAAATGATTAGAAAGCTCGAAAGAAATAATTAATTACTAGATAATTATGAGGTAGGTACCTACAAAAAAAAAGGGAAAATTGCTACTATCTTATTGGTTGAAAGAATGATAAGATTTATAAAGTTTTACAGAATACTATTATCTTCTTTATTTCATTTTATGATTTGTATTTAAAAATATGAATACGAGTAGAACAAAAATGTTCAAAAGGTTTTTTTTGTGACAAATAATAGGCCAATCATTTAAGATAATCAATTCACATTAATTACAAAGTTTTCAAACGTTTCAAAATTGCAAACGTGCTGCAAATTTGAACTAACATCAGTTTGGATGTTTTCAATATTCCATCAAATTTGCAACTTTTTTGACTATATTTTGTTTTTATTGTTAAAATAGTTACATTATCATGTTTTCTCTTTGCTTTACCACTTATATATTTATGATATACATTTGTTACCTATTGAAAAAAAAAAAAGTCATTAGTTTATACATTGAATGTCAACAACCTTTTAAAATAAAGAAGTTCATTTAAATTTGTATTCATTGAGTATTCGTCTTTTTAGTGTAACTTCAACAATTATCATGGTGGAAAAAGTGCTGCAAAATGTTGATATAACTCGTACACATTTTTGGAACAGCTATTCCAATTTACAACCTTCTATTTTGAACTCTAATATTTTGTTGATAAAAAGTGGTAAAACAACTTGACGCCCAAAAAATATTGTGGGCCCCTGTTATCTCTGGTGGGGCCCCTTATGATATTTTTACGGCACAATTTTTTACAAGTAACAAAAAATAAGTACTAAAGTTTAGATTAGATTTAATTAGGACTAGGACTAGGATATACCTTAATCGTTGTTTGGAATACCTTACTGAAAGGGTTAATATTAATGTATTTATAACACGTAATTTTCTAACTTCACTTTACAACTGCCGATACAACCCCTAATACATACGTTTTTTTTAAATCTAAACAAAAGATCGCTGATTTTTAAAATTCGTAATTTTGGCGGAGGAGTTCCTCACTAATCGATTTTTCACTAAAGCCATCAGATTTATCGACAATGAAAATAAGAGTAGCTTCTTTCGTACAGCACTGTCTAGAGGCTTTTTTAGTCTTACTTAAATTACCAATAGTGATCACAAACGAAAACCTGTGAATTGGAAATAAACTTGAACAGATTGAAATTTTATTAAACAATTATCCTTTCGATTTCTTTCAAGTTTCGGAACATTGGCAAAATGAAAGTAATCTTACTTACATCGATATTCCTGGCAATATACTAGAAAGTTTTGATTGAAGAAATCAAAATATTGAGCATGGAGGAGTTGCTATCTTCTCTAGAAATAAATTCAGAACAAAATGTCTAAATCTTGATAAATATAATGAAAAGGGTATTTCAGAATTTTGTGGTATTACTCTATATCAATTAAAAATTAATATAATAACAGTATACAGACCGAGCGGTGGAAATGAGAGAGTTTTTCTACGAAATTTTGAATGTCTTTTGGATGATTTTGTAAATTACTCACAGATTATGCCTTTCTGAATGATTTAAAGTGTTGAGTTCTTACGGACTTTCAATAACTATTGATGAATATACTAGGATCATATTTACACATCTAGTTTTTGTCAGTGAAATATCAAATTATCTGCTTTTTTTATATTAAGGTTTATCAAGATTAGAAAATGGTTACGTTCTCTTATTATCTTTAGAAAATATTATGTTTTATATATAATTAGTAGAATATTTATTTCGTTTTCAATATCCAAATGCCCCTGGATTCTATAAAATATCCTAAACAACCTCACCAATGGTAATTCAAAAGACGAGGAAGACATCGACAGCAAATCATCGCCCATGAGTTACAAAGAGAGACGAAGAGAAGCCCACACACAAGCAGAACAAAAAAGACGAATGCAATAAAAAAAGGTTATAACACATTGCAAGAACTGGTTTCCACTTGTCAACAACCAGATGTATCAGGCTATAAACTAAGTAAAGCAACTGTTCTTCAAAAATCAATTGATTACATACAGTACTTACAAATGCAAAAAAAGAAGAAGAACGCAATGCCCTAAGAAAGGAGGTGGTGGCTCTTAGAATTATGCAGACCAACTATGAACAAATTGTCAAGGCGCAACCATCTCAACCAGGTCATACAGAGACTCGAAGTTCTGATGAAGTAAAATTTTCAGTGTTTCAAGCCATAATGGATGAACTGTTTTCCACATTTAGCGGTGTCCCTGTCAACAATAATTTCTCTGAATTATCGGCTGGCGTTTTTAGTTGGTTGGAAAAATGCTTAAACCTCAAACTCTAAAAGATACTGTGTTCCAAGTTTTACGAAGGCATCATATTCAAATGAGAGGATAGCATCAGTTGTCCTTAGTTTAATTACCTAAGGTACCCACGTTTATTTCTTGATAAAAAGAGCGATTGCTTTGTATAGTTTTTCAAAATAGCAGCAATTTATTGTTCTTGAATATTTATAATTTTTTGTTTAAAATTATGATTTATTGTACTATCTCTGTTTTATTGTTTTGTTAATAAAATGGTGTTAATAAAATAGTTGCTTGGATAATATTATGACAAATTTAAATGAGGGTTTTTATAAAGTTGGGGTATATGACCCTCTGTTTTCTGATCATTCAGGGCAGTATTTGTTTCTAAAAACTGCAGTTATAACTAAGCCCCAAGAATTAACTTTAACTAGGTCTATTTCAAACTCTGGCATACGGAAATTATCTTTTTCTCTTTTGAAAATTGATTGGAGATTCTTTAAAATAAGTCAAAATGTTGACCTTTCATCTTCTTTTTTGGTAACTTCATTTACAGATCTTATTGAAAGGCATTTTTTGCTACAGAACAGTAGACGTATTTTATATCAGCCTGTTTGTTGGTTTACCAAAGAATTTACAGAGCAAAGAGATTTTTTGTCAATGTTAAAAACTATTTGTGATGTTACTAACGACCCAGTTGTTGTTAATAACTTTAAAAACTATAATATTGAACGAATGCATAAGACAATTATGTAGCCATGGCAGATAACAAATCCAAAGCAAGTTGGTATTTGGTAAACTTTGTAAGAAATAAATCAAAACAAAAAAACTGTATTGAAAGTCTAACGCCAAATGACTTTAACTATTTCTTTTCAAATGTGGCGGAGAATAATTATTAAGTCTTTACCGGTTTTACCAATTAATAATTTATTAAGGTTTAAATAATGTCCAGCTCGTTGCTCATCATTTTTCTTTTTCCAGTTACAAAAGAAGAAGTTTTTGAAAATGGCGTTCTTGAAAATTCGTCATGTGCAGATATTCATGGGATTAATGCCAAACTAGACCCTCTGACAATGTTAATCAATAACATTTTTCTCACTGGTATTTTTCCAGATATATTTAAATTTGCAAAAGTTATTCCTCTAAACAAAAAAGGTGAAGAATCAGCCATTGATAACTACTGTCCTATTTTAAATACATTTTCAAAAATTATTGAAAAATTTATTAAAATTACCTATAAGTAATTTAAAGACTTCCTAAGCGGATACTATCAAATTTTTGGATAGTTCCCAAATTTGTCCTTTTTGTACTATTTGTGTTTTTTGTTTATTTAGTGTTTTAAAATTTGAGACGTTAATTCAAAAGATTTTCTATCGATTCTTGTCCGTATTAACTTAATTGTTTGAAGTTTTTTTCAGTAAAATAGGGCTTTACATTACAGACATTATGATAATCATTATTATTATATTCTTTTTATATTTATACAATTTTATTAATTTTTGGGGGAGAGTGTTCTCTCAGTTCCCCTCCATAGATCCGCGCCTGAGGTAGGTAGATATCTTTACACTAGGTTTCTTAATTTATTTGAAAATGGTAAAAAAAACCGTTAAAAGTAACGGAAAGCTATCCAAATGTCAATTTAAATGAGTAAAATTACAAAAACGATAAAAATTATGTTAGCAACAAAATCGTCCAAAACGTTAAACAATGTCAAAAAAAACTATACTATACCGACGAAAACAGGAACAAAATTACTCAAAAAATTATAAAAACTTCAATATAACGAAATAGCAAAAAATACAAAAGAATCAACAACAAACATTACTGAGAATCCATGTTTTCATTATGATTTCGTAAGATATTTCCCTGTCATAACAAATTAAAAAATAAAACAAAATATAAGTACTACTTTAAAAAAATGTAAAAATACTTTATATAAAAAGTGTCAAAAAAATGTAATTTAAACCTAAACAAAATTAAAAATAAAAAACCTTTTATTCCTGTTTGTTAAAAATCCAGTTGTGCTTCTAAAATTGTACTCTGTGAAACTTATTTAATAAAAAGTCTATGCTGTAGGTACTAGAATATTCAAAAAATACATTTATCCCCGGATGAGATGGACCGAAAAGGAGAAAAAACTTTTTTTTTTCAACTTTTAGAAAAAATGTTTTTGCTTGTTTCACAAATAAAATTAATTCAAACAATTTCAAACATTCTTGTCATTATTTCACTAAAGCAAAAATATATTTAGCTTCTATTTCGATTATTATTAGTTTTGAAAAGGTGAAATTAAAAAAGTTTTTTCTTCCTTTTTTTTTCGTAGATTAAAAATTCTTAAAATATATTTTGTATTTTCAGAGATAGTTTTTAGAATATGCATAAAATATTTCGGTAGGTATATGCTTACAATATGCATAAAAGATTATTAGATACAGGGGTTGTATGTTTTCTATACTTTTTGATAGAAATGATCCTATAACATGCTGAGCACTATGCACGAAGTCGTTCTAAAGCAGACTTACCACCAATCGGCATCCGTGTGCTGAAGAAAAAGCGTCCATAGAGCGACGGAAGCAACAAACTCGGCGCCGCGACGCTGCATGCCGCGGCTTTCACCACCAGAGACGGACGCACTCTCGAACTTATCACAACTCGCTTGCACTCGAACCAGCTCGGAACTGACCACGAGTGCACTTCGAACGCACAACAGGAGGCGAGGGCGGACGCACAAGTGGCATCGCGGCGTCTCATTGGGCGCATACGGATCCGTCACGCCTTTTGGACCATGCATGGAACGTTAGCACGTGCAACTTCAAGAAGTTAATCAATTTGCAAGGAAGAAAGTGTCCCATCTAGAAGAGAGTTGAGGACCACTTTGAAAAAGAAACGCGCGGGTTTGTAGTGATTGTGCCAGAGTCAATGTCCTTACAAATTTTGGTTTATTTTTCATAAATTAGAGAAATTACTTAATTTGGCAAATTAATATTTTTTTAGGTATCTACCTATCTTATTTTATGCGCGGAAAACTAATATATTTCGAGTACGAGATGCAAACGATACTTTTTCTAAAACAACAGTGTGTTTTAATATAAATAAGTATTATTAAAAATAATTAATTTCAATATAGGCACATTTGCTAAAGTTTTTACAAAATCACTAATAATATATGGAACAATTGACCGATGTGAAGTTAGCAGTAACTTTTAGCAGTAAAAATAACCGAAAACACTCGATCGAGAAAACAGTGACGTCCGGCATACTACTATTTTAATAATCTTGTCAATATGTATTTTACACATTAATATCAACAAATAATTAATATGCAGTTGAAAATAACCCGTAAAATTGATAAAAATATTTATCCTACGAAGGAAATCAGATCCCAATTTAATTTTACATTTAAAAAATCATAAATACACTAACATACGCTTTAGGTAAACATTTCCTCGGGTCCGTTGAACAGGGTAAAATTACTCCATAAAATAATTATCCTGTAAAGTGTTTAATATTTAAAAAATCAATAGTAGACTTACTAACATACAGTTTAAGCAAAAATCCCTTCGGACTCGTCAGACAGGGTAAAATAAACCATTAAAAATATAAAAAATAATTACCCTATGAATGCGATACATTTTCTACTTACTTTTACATTAAAAAATAATAAATGAACTTACCAAAAAAGGATGAAAGCAAAAAGCCCCTCGGACTCGTCTAACAAGATGAAATTCACTTTTAAAAATAAAAATAAATACTTAACCTAGGAAGGGTATCAAATTTCAACTTAATCTTACATTCATAAAATAAAAAATATACTAAAATAAAAAGTAAAAAAAATCCCTTCGGGTCCGTCAAACAGGGTGACACTTATAATTAAAAATAAATATTTACCCCATGAAGTGAAAATCCCTTCGGACCAACTTTCTTTCACAATCAAACAAATAAATTTAATATAACACACTGTAAGCGAAAATCCCGTTGGACCCGTCGAAGAGGGCGAAATTAACCCTTAAAAACCCCAAAAAATAATTATCCTATAAAGCCGATCAAATTATTACTTGCTTTTACATTGAAAAAATCATAAATACATTCACCAAAGTACATTATAAAGTAAAATCCCTTTAGACTAGTCGAACAGGGTGAAATTACCCCTTTAACTTCAAAATAAATAATTACCCAATGAAGACGATTAGACTCCAACTTGGTTTTACATTTAAAAAATCATAAATACCCGAACCAAAGTACCCTGTAAACTAAAATCCATTAGGACCCGTTAAATAGGGTGAAATTAACCCTTAAACTTTAAAATAAATAATAATCCTATGAAGACGATCAGATCTCAACTGAGTTTCACATTTCAAAAATCATAAATACACTTACTAAAATACGCTATAAGAGATAATCCCTTCCGACTCGTCAAACAGAGTGAAATTAATCCTTAAACTTCAAATTAAATAATTACTTAATGAAGACAATCAGATCCCAACTTGGTTTTACAGTTCATCAAATTTCTAGAGGTGTTCGACGCCCAGACAGAGAACGCGCTACGTGTGACTTAGATAGCTATTGTACAGTCTGCTAAACAAGTTATTTTAAATAGTTTTTAATATTTTTAGGTAATTAAATTTTAAAAGTGTGGAATAGTTTAGGGATTAAATTGGTCTGATTGGACTTTTTTAGAACGTTTTTAAAAGCATCTAAAGATAGTATGTAGAATTGAAAATAATTATTATGCCATAAAAGGTGTTTTGGAATTCCTTCAACCTTTTGAAATTGAGTCAGAAAATATAAATTTTATAGGATAGCGGAAAATACCTATAATTTTTTTGTAGGCCTTTGTAAATTGTGGAAATAGTTTATATTTTATTTCTACCTTATTAAGGAAAATGGTACCTATTATTAATAACGGTTGTTTCTGAAACATTACTAAAATTTTCGAAATTTTGTTTTTCTACAAAATAATAAACTATACTATTTAGAAAAAAAAATTATTTCTCTTATAATTTTATAAAAAATAACAGGGAAATATTTACATTTCTTGATCTATTAAACAAAACGATAAATTATCTCGACGAATGACACCATGTTCTAGTACGTACATTTTTGTTGGTGGTTTCATGGGTTTCATATCAATTTTTTGTAATTGTAGTTTACACGTACATATACCTCTTAACACTTGTTTGCTTTATTAAAAAAGTGTGTTGTTGTGATTTACGTCGAAATAAGTCAAAAACAACTTGAAACCCCATATAAAATCAAAAAGGAGAAACGGAAAAAAATTGAGCCTGTAAATGAACACAACTCAGAAACAAAAATAGCTATCTAATAATAAAAAAGTAAAATTTGATTCTTGTGCAGCTTCATCTATATCATTAACTGTTTTTGGTTTTTTAATGGTTTTTCTTGGTGATGAAAATTCCGATATCTCACGGTTATCGATTCTTTTTTTCTCTCCAGAAATGCGGACGACAGTGTTTTTAGATACTCCTGTGGCTGCAGCAACACGATCATTTACATTTTTAAATGGTATTGAAGGTAAATTAAAGTTTCCTTCTCTTCTCATAAACTCTATAACATTGGCTATTATTTCGCGAGATTGACTGTTAATCACGCGGCCTCTTAATTTGCTATTAAACTCAATACTTAGGTTCTATTAAACTGTAATGAGCAAAAAACACAAACGAAAATAAAAGAAATGTTTTAGCGAAATTTACATCTGACATTTACGACTGAATGAAATAGTGAAATACTTGATGCGCAGAGTGTACTTTCATTGCGTAAATCCGTCGGGATGCCTGTCAGTAGTGCTTTCTCTGTCTAGCCGTCGAAAGCCTCTAGAAATTTGATGAACTGTACATTAAAAAAAGGCATAAATACACTCATCAAAGTACACTGTAGGCGAAAATCTATTCCGACCTGTCAAACAGGGTAAAATTAACCCTTAAACTTTAAATTCAATAATTACTCTATAAAGACGATTAAATCCCAACTTGATTTTTTTTTTTTTTTTTTTTTTTAGAAATATTTCACGAAATATGGACCTGATTATATAAAAATGCTTGGTATTTAAACCTAATGCTATGTCGTCACGGTTGTCACGCTTTTCACTTTTGGATATCTGAAAACCCTAGGCCCGAATGATAATAGGGGAAGGTTGGGAAAGTGACCACGCTAAGGAAAAATAATTTTTTGCGATAAGAAAATATCGAAATTAGCAAATGGAACTTGGGCATTGGTTAGTTTGGGTTATTTAGCTATATACAAGAAAAATCCTGATATCTCATTACATATGGATTAATAGGAAACAAAATTTTAATTCTCTGAATTTATTGGTACAACTAACTTCATACAGAAAGCGGATAAATTTCAATCAACCTTAAATCAATTCGATTTCACAAAGAGACATAAACCGAGCGTTAAGTTTATTCAAATCGCCTTCGAATATTTTTATCTTCTGCTCTTTGTGGTGGATAAAATGTATTACTCTGTAATGTACAATATGTAAATACCAAGTTGTATAACACCAAATAAAATGAAAAATATAAGAAAATATATAAAGTGAAAACGATTGATGTTTATCACCCAAATAGCACAAGATATTCTGAGAATATGCCCTTGTAGCATGTATATATTCCGAATATACTGAGAATGTGATTAGAATATACCAGCGTTTGTGGAATATTCTATGAATATTATTTGAAGAATATTCAGGGAATACTTTTTAATAATATACCAAAAATATTCTTTTGGGAATATTCAAAAAAACTCATGCTAGGAATATTATAAAGATATTGAATAAAAGTATACTGAAAAATTTTATAAAATATCAAATTATTTAGAGGCACTTTTTATGAAATATATAATATTTATTTTCTATTTTGCATCATAGAAATAATGTAATAAAACCTTTTCTAGTAACCTTAAAAGAAGGTGATATCAGATATCATAAGGTAAAGAAGAAGAAAAAGACAAATGACAAATGAGCTGTTTCGGGTTTTTTTTAGGTTATTTGCCATTTTGCCGTTAATATCCCGGTTATGCTTTATTTGGCTTTATTTTTAGATTTTTTAGTGATATAGGTAGTTGTCTTTATTACAGAAGTAAGTATTTGAGTTAATTGTGGTATTTGATGTAGGAATTTTGCTCTTTTTTAGGTAAGCAATTGCATTTTCTACATAAAATGAAAAGACAAAGAAATAGTACCTGGTACCGACATCTCGACAAAGATGTCCAAGATTTTAAGAGTTCTGCTTCTGTAACGAGTACTGATGTTTCCACCTGTAAAGATTTTGATCACTTAGCAGCTACATCAAAATCTTGTGCTAGTCCCTGTAAATCAAAATATTCATCTAGTCCATGTAAATTTTCAAGTCCCTCCAAATCTTTTTCAAGTTATTCTAGCTCTTGTTCTAGTTCTTTTATACAAGTTTCGGATTTAGAATTTAACAATGAATTGAACAGCAATCCAGTAGTAGACATTAAAGAACAGAAGGGTGAATGTAAATCCCGAAAATTAAGTGTAACAGACCAACTTAGTACTTGGGCTATTGATAATAAAATCACCCATTCAGCCTTGCATGGTTTATTAAAAATTCTTTCTGAATCAAGTGAAACTGACATTAAAAATTGTCAGTCATTACCTAGAGATCCAAGAACCTTTTTAAACACCCCC